AAGTGCCCTGCGGGCGCCCATCATATATATATATGCATAATAAAATTGGTTTTTTTTTCCAAACAATAAAAAGTATAATTTATAAATACACCGATTAAATCTCATTTTTTTAAATTTTCATTAAAAAATAGTTTTAATCAATTTCAATGCCTCCTCGTCAGTTTTTGTGGAAAGGCGTAATTGTAACTTAAGGTCTTGTCCAAGACTTTTATGCGTATTATCAGATGGTGTTAAAATATATTTATTGTCTATATTTCATGAGCGAAAAACTAAATACTATACTATCATCAAGTTTTTTAGAAATTGGTAAACAATATCGCACTCTCTTTTCGCCCCACAAGGCCTAGACTTTCTTAAAATCGTTTCATAATAATAATATATCATTAAAATGTATTATTGACAATCCATTTCTTAGACTTAGACGGTTCGGACTGAGAGTAGATGCGTGAGCCACTGCATGAATTAAATGAATATGTAATTCATTTAAATTTTACTGTATGTCACAAGTTCTATTTAAAATTCAATTTTAAGAAAGAAAAAAAAATGTTAGAAGGCTTTTTGTTTCCCAATTTTAAATGCATTTTTACTTTGGTGGGTCGGCGAAACTTAGTTCAACCTTCTTAGGGGGGTGCAAACTATAGTTTATTTTTAGACCTTTGTCAAAAGAGATGAACCAGGCTATTTAATTAGTCGAATCAGTCGGCAGCTACCTTGTGAGACCTATTTGTGCCTCTAAAACCGTCCCCGCGTGCTGGGCACGGTCTATTTTTTTCCATCGCCACCAAATCGGCCGATATAAAAAAAAAAATTTAAAAAATGTATGATGAATGTCTCAAACAACCTCTGGCAAATTGTCGAATGGGGGTTGCGACCCGCAGTTTGAGAATTATTGGCGCAAGAACACAACGTGAAATGACACCATTATCATTCTCAATTTTCAGATAATTACCCGATATTTTTTTTTTAACGAAAAATAATTATTTTTTTTTAAAAGCGCTCATTGTCATTATTAGAAGTTACTTTTTCATAAATCTTTTGTCCATGCATCTTGTTCATCCTGTTTTTTTTTGTTCATGTATCTTGTTCATAATGCTATTATGTATGTATCTTGTTCACACTATTATTGTTCATGTATCTTGTTCACTGTTATTGTTCATGTATCTTGTTCACACTATTATGTTTCATGCATCTTGTTCATACTGCTATTATTTATGTATCTTATTAATACTTTTAATGTATCTTGTTCAACTATTTAAGATCAGCTGCATTCTTTGACTGATGTTCACTTGGTGGCCTCTATTTCTCCAGACTCTCCTAAATTAAGTTACAAAGATCCTACTCAAATGGCAGACTATGATGATAATACCAAATACCAGTAAGGTTATCTTTAAAAGTTCTCAATTCATATTGCACACAAGTTTGCATCTAATGCATCTTTTAAAGTTTCTGGATCTATTCCTATTCCTTGCAGCAGCTGAATGAATGGCTCATCTACTCCTCTATGATTAATACCGGATATGATTAATATCGGACTTCTGTAAATGTTAAGTATGATAACTACATTTTTTTTAGTAAAGAACCAATACTTGAGGGACATGAACAAATATTGCAAAAATTTATTTTACAAATATTGCAAAAATTTATTTTACAGTAAACTATTAAACTTTGTATACAGTCATTAAAATTTAGTACAAACATAAATTTCTAATCGACACCTTACTAAATCACTTATTACGGGAACAGTTACTAATTATGGGAAATAAAACCTACATATACAAGTAATAACCCATATATAAATCAATTTGCAACCAAAAAAAACCCCCACTTATACCATTATGTCAATAAGCATTAAAATAACATACATTCAATTTGCTTGGGAATAAGCATTGAAATAACACAGTACCAATTATGGACTTACATTAGCTAATTGGCATGAAGAATCACAAACATTCACAGATTAGTATGAAAAAAAAATATTTAAAAAAATTTCACAATTTTATACACAAAAAAGCATGAAAATCAATAATACAAAGACCTAGTGGGAGTTAAATACCAGTTAGTATAAACAATAAGGTTTCCAATAAAGTTTCATACAAAACTAGTTTCATCCAAGAGAGCTTTATGTCATCCAATCAGATTGCCACCAGATCACTTTGTCACTGAGCAGTTTGCCACAAGACCCTGGTCACATAACCCGGATAAATTATGGAGTACCTCAAGTTATTTACCATGACATTTTGTAAATACAACAACCAGAGCTGTGCATCACCTAAGCAGGTTGCAACCAGAGCAAAGTGTCCAATTATACCGCACCTGAATGAGGCTTTGAAGTTATGAAAAAACTCACTTAGAAACTTTTGTGGTTCAAAACATTACTAATCCTAGAGATAAAGGCCCAATCAAACTGATAATCTTTGGCTTTGGTCAATAGGCAGGTTATGACACTCGTTAAAGTCATGGTCAGGTTATCTGAAACAGAAATTTAAGAATTGATTTGCAAACTTTTGCTTTCAAAGGTGAAAAGAATTTAAGCCAAAGGTAATTAAATGATCAACATACGAGTACAATTTTAAGATATAAAAGCATTTATTAAATAAATTGGATAAATCAAGTACCAAAAAAATTAAATAGCAATATACTTTATAAAGCAATGAAGTGAAGTACTGGTACACTTAAAACTCACTTGAAAACTTGTGTAGTTCCAAAGATTACAATGCCTAGAGAGGAGGGTTGTGTAAAGCAGTAAAGGCCCAATCAAACCGATAATCTTTTGCTTGGGTCCAGTGGTAGGTTATGACACTCATTACAGTTGCAGTCATGGTAAGGTGATCTGAAACAGACATTTTTAAGAATTCATTTGCAAAATTTGTTTTAAAAGGTGAGAAGAATTTAAGCCAAAATAAAGGTAATTAAATGATCAACATATGAATACAATTTAAAGATAAAAGCATTTATTGAATAACTTTGGTAAATCAAGTATTAAAATTGAAATACGCTTTATGAAGCGAAGTACCGGTATACAATAAACTCACTTGGAAACTTGTGGTTCCAAACATTACAATGCCTAGAGAGAAGCATTGTGTATGAAGGCCCAATCAAACTGATATTCTTTGGCTTGGCTCCGCTCAGCTCCATAGGCAAGTTATGACACTCATTACAGTCATATGGTGTGGTATAGGAAAAAGAATTTTTGTAATTAGTATGAGAATTTATTTGCAAACATTTTGTTTTAAAAACTAAGAAAAATGTACGCCAAACTAAAGTAAAAGATTGAAACATACATAAATACAATTGAGCTAATTCAGCCTTTTTGTTGTGTTAGTAATAATCAAATATTGGTAAGTGTTTAGGCCATGTTATGTGTTAGTGATAAAGTTTATGAGAAGTAATGTTAAACAAGAAATGAATAAAACCCAACATTGTATGAAATTCATGGTATGATGAATTAAGCTCAAAATATTTTAGCTTCTTGGTGTCTGCTGCTTCCATAGCAGTTATAAAATATAAAAGCATTTATTAAATAAATTGGATAAATCAAGTATCAAAAAAATTAATAGCGATATACTGCGATATACTTTATAAAGCAATGAAGTGAAGTACTGGTACACTTAAAACTCACTTGAAAACTTGTGTAGTTCCAAACAGTACAATGCCTAGAGAGGAGGGTTGTGTAAAGCAGTAAAGACCCAATCAAACCGATAATCTTTTGCTTGGGTCCAGTGGTAGGTTATGACACTCATTACAGTTGCAGTCATGGTAAGGTGATCTGAAACGGACATTTTTAAGAATTCATTTGAAAAATTTGTTTTAAAAGGTGAGAAGAATTTAAGCCAAAATAAAGGTAATTAAATGATCAACATATGAATACAATTTAAAGATAAAAGCATTTATTGAATAACTTTGGTAAATCAAGTATTAAAATTGAAATACGCTTTATGAAGCGAAGTAGCTTTATGAAGCTAAGTACCGGTATACAATAAACTCACTTGGAAACTTGTTGTTCCAAACATTACAATGCCTAGAGAGAAGCATTGTGTATGAAGGCCCAATCAAACTGATATTCTTTGGCTTAGCTCCGCTCAGATCCATAGGCAAGTTATGACACTCATTACAGTCATATGGTGTGGTATAGGAAAAAGAATTTTTGTAATTATTATGAGAATTTATTTGCAAACATTTTGTTTTAAAAACTAAGAAAAATGTACGCCAAACTAAAGTAAAAGATTGAAACATACATAAATAC